TTTTTACTGTATTTTACTTTTCTTTTGAACATATTTTGGGTATAAAAGTGGGCAGATATAAGATTTATTCTTCTGCTGCTGCCTTTCATTTTATTTCATTTCATTTTGATTGTATGTTTTTTTGAACTTTGTTAATTTTGTATTACAAATGAAACAAATAAACTACTACTACTGTTTCTCTACATGTTTTATTAAAATATGTCCAGAATGCTGGTTTGTATATCAGTTATAAACCTGCCCAGTCTTGWAAAATGTGTTATTAGTTTGTTTTTAACTGTAAACAACCTGGTCAGACGACTTGTGAAGGCTCCTCCTCTCCTGAGACGTCAGCATGGCTCTGTGGCTCCTGCAGCCATTAAACTCAGTTAAAAGTTGTGAATTATGAGCAAAGAGGATGTGTCGTTGTTAATCACTCACTCTGTCAGCTCTTCTTCTTGGATCTGAACCAGGTTTGAAACGTTCTGATGATACGGGCAAACGGACTCCAGGCCCAGCTGAACACAGATCCTCACCATCCTGATCAAACACAAACAGGAAGATTAAATTCAATCTTTAACCTCTTAAGCCCCACGCCCCCGGSSSCCGGGGGCGTGGGGCTTAAGAGGTTAAAGATTGAATGAGCTGATTTTTTTCTGTTAACTTCAGATCTGTCAGTTGAACCTGGACATGTTTGGTATCAAACGAAAGCTAAAAACTCATGGAAACTATTTCTACGTTCACCAAACACAGTGTCAAACAGAAAGTAAACAAACTGTCCAAAACGGCATCATTGCAAATCTGTAAAGAAAACTTTTTGACATTATTTTTATTATCATCATTGTGATTCGTTTCCTATCCAAGTCATCTCAACTTTGCCATGCTTCTCCTCCTGCATACTTTGTCCTAGAGCTGCCATTGTAATTTATATCTGTAAAGCTCCTGTGCCAAATGATGGCTATGCCTTTTGGTGCCTGTACAACTTGTAGTTTTTGAAACATTAATGTTTGAACTTTATTCCAAATTCATAAAATGGGAATAAATGGGGTCCAATAATTGGTCCAATACTTCCCCMYGCTGTACTCAACTTGGTACTGCACCATAGTTTTTTAATAATTAATCTCAATAGTTCAGTGTTTACAATACTAATATGATTGTATTTTAATGTTTTACTATTATATTGTCTTAATACTGCTCGATTGTTGTAATATTATGCATTTTTGTGTCAATAATTGTATTGGCAATGTTGCCTCTTTCTGCACACATACAAACCAACCCCTGCCACCATCTTCTGCCACAGCTCCATTGGTCTAATGGT